CACCTTTTCGTAGACGATTGGCATAATGTTGTATGTATCGTATTTGAATACATTCCTTTGAACCGTAACACATTCTCGAAGTCTGACATCATGCCAGTCTCAGTATTTCAACAGTGTGTCTAATATGTGACCAATTAATTGATAATGGAAATTTCCTACTCAGGTATTAAAGATGACTCTTACTAACTCCCTCGGAGGGGTTGAATAATTTGTGTGATATGTCAAAGTACAATTTGACCAGTTATTGTGGTGCTGTTTTTCTCAATAAACACATATTGTTACACAACGCAACTGTTTATTCCACAATTGTCAGTTGAGGTGATGACGCAAGTAAATGTCTGTACGTGGATTAAAGTAAGTCGCAAGACCTGCAATTAGGAGTCACGCCATTGCACTGCACTCTTGCACTCGAATTTTTCCATCTCTTAGACATTACAAATATTTCTGGAACAGTATTTTGGCACAGTAATCAACAAAAAGCCAGTTATTACTGAAATGCTTGATATGTGAATGAACACACGCGTTCGATTTCAAGGACGAGCTAGTTTCCATCATGAAGAAACAGGAGAGGGTGGAGGAGGAGGGAAATTATATGAGAGAGAGACAGGGAAACAGAAAATAAAGAACCAGACGAAGATAGAGAGCAATATCGATAATCAAGTGTCTGCAACTCGTGTCTTGTGACGTTGGACCTTTCAGGGAGAATCTGCTTTTTCTACTACTACACATCTTTATTCCCGATCCTTAACCAGTGTTGATTGAAAATAAATCAAACAAATGTGGAAATATTAGCATTTGCATTACTCAAAATTAATAATAGATTGTTGGATAATTCTTTAATATCTTACCCCTAACGCATAATGTAGCCACTTAATATTGCCTTCAATACTCTAAATGCATTCTTTAATAAAAGTCTAAAAGCCCCTCAGGTGGGTGATATTAATGCTTAATTTTGGTAGGGTGAAGAATTTCGCACTCCACCACCACTCTGGTTGACTAGTGTCTCGGACACCCACTTCATCAGATATGCGTCTTTCCGGCTGATGGGCACAGCGACTAATGCGCACACAATCATTTCCATAATTATTTAATCAACTGCTTGTGATTCCTATTTTCATTTCATATGTGATGCATGTCTTACGTTTCTTCTTACTAACAGGGACACAGTTGAAACATTGTTTCCATATTTCGCATTAACTTTTACCTTGCAACTCTAACCAATCATTTATTCATTTATTTATATCAAATGGCAGGCGTTTTGATAGTTATCATTAGCCCTTTGGCTGACTTTGGGCTTCACAGAGAGGAGGAGGAGGAACATCAAAGTGACAAAAGTCGAGAGGGGGGCAGAATAATGATTCACAGATGTAACAGACAGACACAAAGACAGGGAAAAGGTAAGGTGAGTACTGTATAAGGAGTCGAATATGACATGCAGTGGGGTGATGGTAATTTGAAGTCAGAAATCAACTGCCAGGTAATAGACTTTTTTGCCGTATGAGTATAACAACTGCCGGTTAATAGACTTTTTTGCCGTATGAGTATACGGTGCCCAGGGTGCACCACGTGGAGGTAAGTCTAAATATACATTGCCCAGGGTGCACCACGGAGGTAAGTCTATTGCACACCCCATGATACCTATCATAACGCCTGCCATTTGAAAGTACGTTGTCCAGGGTGCACCACGTGGAGGTAAGTCTATCGTATTCTTAAGAATAATTGTTTAGAAAACCAGCAAGGGTTGAAAGTTGCCCAGGGTGCACCACGTGGAGGTAAGTCTATCGCACGCTGTCCAGGGTGCACCACGTGGAGGTAAGTCTATCGCACACACCCCTCCGCTTCCAAATAAGATGTTGATAGTGAAGGCATATTTCCAGGGTGCACCACGTGGAGGTAAGTCTATCGCACACCCACTTGGCTCTCCCCTCAAATTTCAACCCTACACGGATGGGCCTCTATCCAATCATAACTTACCGCAGTTGAGCACTCTCGTAAAAGTAGAAAGATATGAATAAATGTGAAAAGTATTAATTTATTTAGTTATATCAAATGGCAGGCTTTATGACAGTTATCATTTACACTTTAGCTAACTTTGGGCCTCATAGGGGGGGGGGGGAACATCAAAGTCGTAAAAGGACGAGAGGAGGGGGGCAGAAGAATGACTCATAGAAGTAAAAGAGGGAGATAGACAGACACAAATGTAGAGAAAAAGGTAAGATGAGGACTTTGGAAATGGTCGAATATGACATACAGTGGGGTCATGGTAGTTGGAAGTCAACTGCCGCCTTATGAGCATACTTTGCCCTGTGCGCACCACGTGGAGTTAAGTCAATTTCGTATCTCATAGTGCAAAATTTAGACCAAAGACACTTGATCAACAAATGAGACGAATTTAGTGAATACATAAAATAATGATACGCATTGTAAATGGAAAGATCAACTTTTGAGAGAAATTTTAGAAAGATCAAACAGTATCACGCTTAAAGACGAACTCGTTAAAGTATCTTCTATCTTAATTAGCATTAATTCTTTTATTAAACTTTGTTCAAATGACTTCATTTTCTATCAGCATATTTTACGCCATATTTGCCCTCAAATGACGTTTCCTAACTTAGTTCCTCCTCAAGATTATTGATTATTTAAATGGTTGACTTGGCGATAAGTTGAAAATGTTTTGTTAACGAAACTTCTCCAAACCATGGGTTCTTTAAAAAAGTCCGTAAAATTACGACTCAAAAACTCATCTACCATCTTTTGGTACGTTAGACAGGGTCAAAATGACGAAATCTTTGTTTGACATATTAGTGATAAAAAATCCTTTTTTTCCAAATGAGGTAGAATTCAGTTTAGAACGATGTCAGTCAATATAATGCTTTCAAGAATTTGTTGGAGCGTAACCAAAGCCATTGGCAACACAATTTAGGAGACAGTGTATTCAATGCCAAAAATGATAAATTCACTGATTGTTAAAAATGTGCGAAGCACAGCCTTATCTTGACGCGTGAGTTCCATTATCTAGGACGTTGACAAGCGACTAAAAGCTTTATGAAGAAAGATCAATATTTAGAATCTTAGGTTATTTATCAGGCTTTCCAGTGTTCCCTACCTTAATGCGACTTTCTACGGAACACCTTCATTACTCTTAAGTTTTAATAGTTACAAACTGATTACAAAGTCGTACTTAAATAATAACAGTAGTGCAATCAACAAGTCATTTGGAACAACCTTGTTTAAGCAATAAATAATACGTTTATAGACATTTAAATACACTCAAGCGTCGTTAATTTGCCCGCTTTTAGTTGTAAGGTCAACTTGAATCAAATCCTCTGGGAAGTGGTGTGCTTTGGCTGTCGCCTCGAATTCATCAAATCGGTTATCGGCAATCGCTTTTCGCATATCATCAAAGAAGGCATAACACTGGACTGAATTGTGTCTACAGTTACAGAAGCAAAAGTCAAATACCTATTTACTTAAGGCATAAACATAACACGTTTACTAAAGTAGCAATAAAACACAAAAATATAAATGTTCAACTTGCATCATAAGAAGAATATGGGCCAGCATTTCGTCAACACTGTGTAAATGCGAAATATAGCCTCTGTTATGTGTTTTACAGGCAAAACATGGGCAATCATCCAAAAGAGGTTGTTTGTAAACCTCATCTTTTAATTCTTCAGGCGGAAAAGGGAACTTAATCCACGATTTAGCTGACCCATCGACTTTCCTACTTGCAGTATAGAGCCAAGCAATACCAGATCGAGTTAAACGGAAAGGAAGAGACCCATCAAAGATGTCAACACCACAACGAACAGCGCGAACGACCTCATCTGGTTGCCATATGGAAGCCATGAAACGTGGAAGATTAGGAGGAATTTTTTCGCAAATGGACTTCAGGATTGTGAAAACATTCTCTAGATGTGTGGCCCTGGCACCATCAAGAGATTCAAGGAAGAAACCGTCGAGGACAACACCTATGAATAATAGAAAAAGTAGGAAGGAATAAATAAGAAGACTGAAAAGTCTATAGGTAATACCCAGTAGAGTAAACCAAAAATCTTTAAATCACTATGATAATGTACCGGACAAGATAAAATTGTGAATCCAATACTTTACGTCAACTCGACAATGAAATGATTGTTAGAAAATTACACCAATTTGCGTATATCTGAGAGTACTAAATATGGGAACAGAATGGTAGAATAACAAAATTCACTAGCAAAAGAACGAACATATTTCTTTCTATTGAATTCCGAAGAAGATCGTTTTAAATGAGACCTCAAATTCATGTAAAACAAATCAGAAAATACTAAATTTCCTAAATTCGAAAGTCATTCTTTAGCAAGAAAAATTGTAATATCACTAGGGTTATTAAAATAAGCAAAAGTAAATACAGCACTAGCGAACCTGATCCATGAGTAAAGTCGGTAGAGTCCACGCCACGAAGACGCTGATCCAGATCATTTCCGCCAGTGACTGAGATAAGAGGTGGAATTTTCGAAAGTGTCTAGGAGGAATAATGAAAAATTGACATTAACACAGATTCTGCAAAGGTAACCAACCTCATTGGACTTCACAAAAGCTTCAATCATCTCTGAATAAGATTTCGTGCGCTGAACAGACTTTTGGCAACGCTTCTTTGTAGGAGGAGTAAAATCTGGAAATGCCGTTTCATTATCAACTGGCATTTGATAGGCCACTGGTAGGGCGCTTAGAACGCAATCAGCATACTGCTCCATGGTCACGGGCAATCGACCACCGACAGCCCATATTTGCACAGATGTTCTATCGACAGCTCGCGCAACCGCGACTTCAGTGGAATCATTTTGAAAAAGAACAATGGGGAACTAGAAAACCTGGATTAAACAAATCGCAGCTTTACATTCAATCCAGAGAACCTAGCCAATCCCTTTCCAAATTTTTGAAACACCGAAAGGCGCTCACGACTAAAACTATGAATAGAAAATACAGCCTACAGAAAGTTTAACGATGCAAATGCCAGCTGGGGGGCATTATCCAATTGCCTTACTATATCATTTGAAAGAAATGGAACAGCCCCTAAAAATGTTCAGCATCTTGATGGAACGTACCAAATTTGGTATAAAGAAGACAATTGGGAGTTGGAAATTTAATATCATGATAACTTTCGATATCAGTTATTAACCCACATCTCCGGAATGAATCAAAACGTGACAACTGAAATCTCATCGTATTCAAGTGACACCCTAACCTTGAAGGGCAATAAAGTGTGGAAAAAGTCAAGGGAGCTCACCATAGATTATCGCTTTATTAAAAATTAGGAAGAATAAATCATACACAATTATACTAATAAGCTCTGTGCCTCAAAAATGGAAAAATTCAAATGATTATATTCGTTTTAAATATATAAAACACTGATAATACAATACAATCAACATTTTTACACAGAGAGTTTATGTATATTAAATGTTATAAACATTGCCTTACGATAAATAATATATAAAATTATTTGTCGTTTAGCTTTACCTGTGGCTTAGTGTATAATAAATTTTATTCCTTTAATTTATGTCTAATATAAAATTTCATGATAAAGTAACCAGCATAAACAGAAAAACTATTTAAATTTGATAATTTGGTATGTTAAAAAGCACTAATATTTTCTATTTTCATTTAACCTCTTTGTTCACTTCAAGGAAGTCTGCCTGCGTAAGCCTATTGTTCTCTTTCCATGGATTTACTTTAGTTTCTGTTCATAAAATTAATTTTAACTAAAGTCTATTTATGCTGTAATGCTTAAATCTAATCTTGGTTTATTTGACGTTTAGAGTATGGATGTCCGAAATACTAATCCAGGTTCGCTTGAATTTAGCTTTTTGTTTGATTTACATTTATATTTTTATCTTTTAATAGCTAAAGTGTTCGGTTATTTATAGCTTATTTATTATGAGTAATATATTTTTTGTGTAATAGGGCTTGGATTTAACGGTGTAGCAATGGAGAACTTTCACGATAAACTTATCGGTATGTCAAAGGAAGAATTAGAACGTCTTTTCAACGACCAGGAGATGATTCGCAAAATGGTTCTTGAGAGTAACTCCCTAAAAGCTTTGAAGTCTACTAAGAAACGGCTTTTGAAAAGTAACCAACAAAAAGCTGCCAAGAATTTAGAAAGCGAGCCTAAAATGGAAAGTGTTAGAGAAAATTTAATTTCAGCTCATCAAGAATTCAACGAAGCTCTCAAGGAATACTCATCTTATAAGAGCAAATTAGGTTAGTATTATTTTTTGTTGTTGATTATTTGTGAGTTCGTGTAATCATGGACTGTTTATTTAAAGATGAAATTCGTGGTTCATTTTCGACGCAAACAATGCTTGCTCTAATGAAAGTTGCCAATGCTGAAGAAGATGAACTATCTGAGCAATTGCAGAAAGATCTTGTGGACAAGAAGATAGAATTGGACGAGTTCCTTACTCGAATGTACGAGCTTCGTAAATCCTACAATATGCGCCGTATTAGAATTGATAAACTTAGTGAATTAGAGAATTCTGCCCATGGTTATCATAGTCCACCTCGACCGTCCTATCCTTCACCGTTTGCCTCATTACCCCACAGTCGTTCTGGCCCCTATCCTAAACTGTAAATCAATACCATTTTCCCTTTACTAATTATTCTAATTCACTTGTATTCATTGTCATGGAACCTTTGCTAACTGCTCTCTCTTCTCATATACAGTTTTCCCTCCTTGTTCTCAATCAGTTTTATCATTTCAATTTATATTGCTATCCCCATTATATTGCATGATTCGCAAGAAATGCTGTGATATATCATTCATATATTGTTCTACTTTTCCTTTTATTCAGTTGAGTCCATTGTTAAGATATTTTTGGATGGTTTTGTCATGTGAACCCTTATATTTCAAGTTTTGTGTCTCATAAAATGGTCACTAGTTCGTGATCACATGCAGCCGCGGTGAGTTCAATGCTCTCTTTAATGGTTCCACCTACTTGCCTCTATTGCGTAGCATCTCCGTCAATGAAGTGTGATTAATTAACGTCTACTACTTGTGCTCCCTCCATGAATCACTATTAATGGCGATTAATTAACTTTGTTAATTGAAATATCTTGGTCTTGGGTATCAAATTATCCGTAATAAGTTGATTATTGCAATATTGGCTCTCTGCTTTAAATGTTTAACTTAAGATGGGCGAGTGTGCATTTGCATCAAGCGTCTATGTTGGCCTAGTACCGGGGGGGGGGGGGGGGAGGCAATCATAAGTTTGCGTTCTAGGTTTTGGAAAGATATGACGAAATCTCCCGTCGCAGAATCAAGTGCTGGTTTTAAAGAGTACAGCGAATTAACCATACAGAGACTTGAAATATAATTATTATTCTTGAGGCTTTGAAATAAATCGGGTCAAATTAGTAGAAATGTCATTAGCTTACACTATAATGTAAATTAAAAAGACCAATTTATTGGGGAAAAATTACCCATGATTTCGTTTGTTATTTAGTTGGGAAAGGATATGTTTGCTTTTGACTCTTACCTGTCGCTTATTTCCACGATTGTAATTTTGCTTTCTTTACGAGATGAAGTTTTAAATTTTCCGTATAATCATAATCAATGTGGTCATTTTTGCAAAGTCCTTGTCAAACAGCCACTGAAAGTATTATTAACTTGAAGGGGGTGGCGCCAAATTATGACTGTACGAAATCAGGATGACGGCCATTATTTCAATGTTAAGCTTCCAACACCACGTTCTCCTGTCGATGAAAATTCATCTGCAATTTTCAACGGTTGCACGTGTTTTGTAAGGTTGCTTCATTGGAGGCTTATCTGCAAGTTGAGATTAAACCAGACTATCGTTAACATCTTACCAACAGCACACACCGGAATCTAGATCGATTTAGCGGATTTCCGTTCTGATAGAAATCAACCTCTGGCATCATCTAACTCATAATGAATATAACGCGCAACTACATGTAAGAACGATATCATAGCAGTTGGACAAGAAGACAAGGAATTCAGAGAACGTATTTAATATCAGCTTGAACCCATTACCATTTATGGTTCCCATCTGAGTTCAAGGCAGGATTCTTGACGATTTCAACCTTGATACGCGCCAATAAAAGCATATTTGCTTGGTCTGTTCTACCGTCGTAAAGCATTATCTGTTTCTCAATTCCATTGCTGTTCGATGGAGAGTTGTCGTGTCGATAGCACTCAAGAAGGGTTCTTATAAACCTCACGTTGGTTATCTAGGAATTAATCGAAGGAAGACTTTATCCAGAGGATTCACAAATATTATCAGGAAATTGGCAAATGTAGGATTGCTCGTCGAAGTCTTTATCAAGTGTCAAAAGGCGACTAAATGCCCATTACGCGAAAAATCAACGCCTTGGTCTCACATGAGAATAACATATACCAGAGTTCCTGATGATTTCGCTTGGAATAGTTTAATTATTATCGGTGATCTCTCTCCAGGTGGACGAAAGTGATATTAATGCATTCAAAAAGGTAACAGCTCAGTTAAGCTATCACAAAGGTTTCTGAGACATAAGCCAGGCTTTACTAGCGTAGAAACCGCTACAGTAAGTTGATCGAACTTTCTAAGGCAACTGATAATCAATTATAAAGGTTCTAGTGCCTTTAACTCCTTTTACTCTTCTCATCCCCGCCTACTTTTTGTGGATATTTTTGAATTGTTTGGTGGAATTGCATGAATGTCCTCAAAGGTTTGTACGCACTTCACATGGCCTGATGACCACTCGATTTAGTTGCATGGTACAGTCAAGTACAAATTGATGAGAATTTTTAGCATCCAGCGCTGAAGGGAATCATTAAGAAAGATCAGATTTAAGATTCAATTCTTAGTAATTCGCACTTCGTAATTCGCCTCCTTGAACAATCCTAATGGGATACAACGGCTTCAACTTAAGATTTTTGGGTGGTTGTGGAAGCGATAGCTCTGAAAACTAAAGAATTCATTGTTTTGGTGGTGAATTCAGTTAACTGGATTGGTTACGAAATTGTCTTGACCAATCAGTCGTGGAATTCAAAACGTATTTATTTATTTATTTACATCAAATGGCAGGCGTTTTGATGGTTATCATTAGCCCTATAGTTGACTTCAGGCTTCACAGAGAGGAAAGAACATCAAAGTGAAAAAAGTCGAGAGGGGGGGGGGAACAGAAGAGTGTTTCAAAGATGTAAAAAAGACAGACACAAAGGTAGGAAAAGGTGAGGTGAGTACTGTGGAAGTAGTCGAATATGACATACAGTGGGGAGATGGTAGTTTGAAGTGAGAAGTCAACTGCCAGTTAATAGACCTTTTTGCCGTATGAGTATACGTTGCCCAGGGTGCACCACGTGGAGGTAAGTCTATTGCACACCCCAAGTTCAAAATGTAAGGAAAAGCTCTATATATAAAGCATCAAAGGCGATTATCGATTTAATTTGTTTGCTCACCGAACCAGTCCCTTAGTCCCATTCCTTGGATTAGGATGAGAGTAGGTGTAAAGTGAACTTTTAACTCCTCTACTCTTTTGTCAGTGGGGCTTTCAAAGTGCCTATGTGGAATGAAGAGCAAGAATTTTAGTCATTCATATTAACCATCAAAAGCTAATGCTATAAACTGAACGAACCAATAGCATTCAGTCTAATATTTTTAAATGCCTCCAACCTGCTTTCCAATATGAGAGATTGTCATTTGCACAAATTGAAATGTTTCTTAGCATTTCATAGGGGAAAATTATTTTGTATGCTGTGGGTAAAAATTTAAGTTTTTCATTATTTATTGTGAGAACGGAGTTATGAAGTACACTTTTTTGAAAAAAAAGTTACTCCTTTGCTAAAGTGAGGATCGATTCTTAAATAGTTAATGACTTGGGATCATCGAAGTGTTTCACACGGTTGGAGCTGTTATTAAATCTGCGTCATTGAATCATGCAAAATGCCATTGATCTATTGTCTGCCTAAGAGGTTAGTTAACATCTAAATTGATGAAATATCGCTTGTGTTCCAAACCACCGCCCCCCTCCCCCTCCCACCCAAATCGAGATGTACGCCTCCTTCGGGTTTAGAAATGATTTACGAAATGCGTGGTTACGAAAAATCACACCTAGAAAGATCACATATTTGCGGCTCTGAGAAATAAGCTATATTTAATACATTTTGAGAAAACTCTTCAACAGGACATACGAGGTTAGATATCTCACTTCTCTCCTCTAGAAACACTTAACGCTGTATCGACATCTGTACCATTACCTGTCAAATGTGTAGCATGGATACGAACCTCAACTGAACTTTTGAGTTGATGATTCATAAGTACCAATGAATTTTGCACTATGGCAGCTCTTCTCACACGCGCGTAATTTACCACATATCGCATTCAGTCTCTAATTTGAGTGATAAATAAAATATTTTTTTTCCTTTTACTAACTGTAGGTCAAAACGTGGGCAATAAGAAATAAACGCTCTCTAGGTTGCGTAATACTGGATAGTAAAATGCCTTTGGTCGAAAACAATAAAGCTTCTCAACTTTTAAATTCAACTTTCTCGGGGTGAGCGATAGACGTACCTTCATGTTGCGTACCCTGGACGACGTCCATGAAACGGCAGTTGACTTCAAACCACCATGACCCGACTGTGGTCAGACTGTGTCATCTTCGACCACTCCCATAGGACTCACCTCACCTCACCTTTTCCTCAGCCTTTGTGTCTGTCTGTCTCTTTTACATCTGCGAAGCACATTTCTGTTCCCCCTCTCGACTTTTTTCAATTTGATGTTTCTTCCCCTCTGTGAAGTCTGAAGTCAACTAAAGTGCTAATGATAACTATCATAAAGCCTGCCATGTGGTGTAAATATTTCACTTTCCACTTAAGACCAAAGAGCCTTTTAGATTGAATTTTCCCAAATTTTCTCTTTTGTGCCTTCAATAAGTGCGATGTTTCCAGTTATGTGTCCACTTTCAAACTTGAATATTTTTTGGTTATGGCAATTAGTCAACAGTCTAGCGGTCAGGAGAATTTCGATCATATACCGGCTATTAGTAGCTTTATACCAATTAATGGAGCAATAAATACCAAGAGGAGAAGTGTCGGATAATTTGAACTAAGAGATAGCGATCTGCAGGATCAAAAATATTCCTATGAGTTGAGTTGAACTATGCGTGCACTTTTTAATAAGAACAAGAAAGGAGAGGGAGAGAGACAGAAACTGGATACGTGAGAATTGGGAGCATCCATCAAGGTGAGTGAAGACGGGTGGTTATGGTAATGAAGCTGTATTAAAGCACGCTAAGGGGTGCCGACAATTTTAGTGTCTCCTTTTCTTCAATCCGGTGACCAAAAAATAAAGTTCTACCAGCCTGAAAAGGTAACAACAGCCAAAAGTCAATTGAAATGACTTATATTCTTCTAGTATGGAGTGTGCGATAGACTTACCTCCACGTTGTGCAACCTGGGCAACGTATACTCAAAAGGCAAAAAAGTCTATTAACCGGCAATCGACTTCTGACTTCAACCTACCATCACCCCACTGTATGTCGTATTCGATTACTTCCACAGTACTCACCTCACCTTTTTTCACCTTTGTGGCTTTGAAACACTCTTCTGTTCCCCCACCCCCTCCCGAATTTTTTTTTTCACTTTGATATTTCTTCTCCTCTGTGAGGCCTGAAGTCATCTTAAAGGCTCATGAAACTATCAAAATGCCTGCCATTTAATATAAATAAATATTCTTCTAGTATGCCGAACGCATAAAACAGATCTAATGTTGATATTATAAGAGAGTTAAGTACTTTCTTTCGCTGAATATCCAGTCTTCATATCTATATATATTCCCTTGAACTGTTCGATAATACAGTGGTTTATTGATTTCTTTTTTTAGGGGGGAGGGGTAGTTAAACCACTTCTGTGGCACTCCGGAGTGTCATCCCTCAGTACCACCACCTCACTCCCTTCGTCTTTATTCCCAATTCCTCCTCCTTCACCTTCATAATTACCAATAATTTTGCACGCATTTGGCCAACCAAACTCGTAAGCTTCTTACTCGACAAAGGCCACTGCCACCTACTAGCCTCAAGATAATGTTATAAAAGGAGGGGGAGGGGGTAATGACGACTAACTTTGGTTTAGAGCTCTCCTCTCTCCCCCCCCCCCCCGGATCTCCAAATTTCGCTTTAAGAGTCAATATTTTGCAGAAATATACCTATACTAGAGCTCATCCAACTTGTACGAGGAAAATTTTTTCGGGGCTTTCATCAGTGAATAAAGAATGTTAAGCTCCCTTATTGTTCGCAAATAAGCTCTCTGTTATCACTATCAGTGTTTCATCTACTCAGTACTGACACATTTGCCCCTCCTATCCCAAATTCTTTCCTATATGGGATGGATCAGCGTATCCTCCAAGCCTTTAGGAAGTCCATCAGTTTTGCAAGAGGATTCCTAAATCTAACTTACTCCAATTACCTTGAACGCCGGAAAAACGACTTCAAGATCGTCTTGACAAACCGCATCATCGGGATTCCTTTTGCAGCCTTAAATTAAAATCATTATCGATTTTGTAGAAAGGAAGATCTCACTTCTCCAATTAGGAAATAGGATATATCTAGTAAGCAATCATATCACGGAGGTGGTATTCTCGAACCATACAAACTAAATCGTGACAAGTAGTCATTACTGACAATGACCAACGCCAATAAACCTACGTAGAATAAGCTTCCAGCTACACATACCTGAATCACACCCACTAAAAACCTCATCACAATCCGGTAATCAAGTCGCCTTGAACAACATAAACTCATCGAAGGACAAAAAGCAGGAAATTGAAAATTATTTGAACTACCAAAAGGCATTGTGAACACAAACCTTCCAAAGACACAGAGCTGTATTAACACGAATCGAAAGCTGTAAGTCGAAACCTTAATGACAGAGATCAATCACTTTCAAAGTGGAAGCGAGACTGTCATTTAGCATGCATCGATCAAACCAGGATTTAGAGGATTTCTGTATTACAGAAGAAAGTCTTGACTTTGCAGAAGAAAGGAAAAGATAGATCTCATCAATAGACAAACGTTCTTCACCCTTCTTTGCAATCTTGTTGACACAGTCCACCAAAGCCTTACTATCATTGCAAGAAAGAGCCGATTCTACTAAAGATAAATTTCTAAAAGTTTTATCAAAATCGGGTGAGAGGCGAGCAAGAAACATCAGAATAATCGATTCTCCATAAAGAGGAAGATCTTTAAATGGATTTCCTATTGCCATACAACCAAATGAGCAAGGACGCCAAATAATGGAAATAATGAAGTCTGAGGTTGATGATCGTGGTTTTCCCGTGAAAAAGTGTTCCAGAGGAATTAGATACTCTGGAATAGAGGTAAGAGTAGAATGGCGATAGAATTGAACTGATACGCCTCGACCAGAAAACAATAACATTTGGCTGTAGGCAAGGAGTGCGAATGGAGGGCAGCTAGGATCACAATGAACAGCTAGATCAACGAAATCTGGACCACTCTGAGGTGACAGTGTGGTCGCTGGTGTGAATATTGCTTGATTTTGCGATTTATTATCAATATGTGCTGGCTTGGGCGGTTTCTCAGCGGCTGAGGCAAGAGACTTCGTGCTCGGAATCGTGATGGTCGATTTGTCGAAAGGCATCGGAGCAAGATAGGCATCAATCATCCGTTCAAGTTCATGAAGTCTGTGTAAAAGAGTTGAGTCGACGTCCTCTTTTTTGGACGCATTGTGTAAATGCTTGCCAAGTTTAGAAACAGGAGCCGTTTTTCTGACTATATATTTATCCAGAAGCATTTCATTAGCGGATTCGACTTGAGAAGCAGATTCAAAGTGTACTTGCTGTTCTGGCTGTGGGTGAATTGTAGCCTCGTCAATTTTGCCACTCTTCATGGCCTCTAGTGCTTGGCCAAGTCTCGATTGTGCTGCGGAATTTTTAGGTATAAATTTATCCAGACTGTTTTCGTGTTTAGCTGAAGAGACAACCACTTTTCTAGGGAATATTGGTTCCAATTTATACATCCTCTCAGTATGAACAAAATCCTCCTCTTTGTAAGTTACAATAGGGTCGACTTTATACATTATGCGAAATAGCACAGTAGATCAATCAAAAAGAGCCGCTTAAAATGTCCAATTAGCTTTTGCTAATTGGAGGTCTTAATATATATTAAGAAGTGATAATAAGCAATTTATTACGCTTATATTTGTTCTGAATAAAAATATTAATTCTGAGATAATGCTCCAGAATAATTAATAATTCGCGTCAAAATGTTGATAAATCTGAATATAATAAATTAACAAAATGTAACAATAGAACGATTCAGCATATGTTTTACTGAAAGCAAATTATTATTTAAATGTCACTAACGATTTTTTTATAAAATTAAATCAAAAAATAAATCAATACTTTTGCTAGCTAAACTTCCTAAGTTTGAGACTGGTATCGTATGTCATAGTGCTAATTTTAGCTATTTAGACTGTTGTGAATTTCTCTTTTTAATGAACTCAACTTAAAATATTAATGCCATAGTTGTCAAATCATTAATTTTTCTTGTTTCTGTCGTCAAATGAATTTAGCTGCTTAAAAATTCCTGACTGTTAATTCTTAAATTGTGTTTAGAAGTAAAGTCGATTAGATGAAGCCTTGAGTCAATTTAAACTGAAAATATATGCAACATTTCTGAAAATTAATGCGAAATGGGTTTATTTTTCGAGAAGGTGTTTAATTCTTTGAGTATGTGAAATCTTCACCAACACAAATTTCGGCTTTTCTTGGGATTTTTCGTAATCACTCAAAGCATTTTTTAAATGAAGATATCATTTCTTATCTTTATTTCAAACTAAGTACGGTAGGTATGTTCAAGTAAACTAAGACTAAAGCTTGATTAATATTAAATGAATTCATTAATAACCGATAATTAGTTCTTTAAACAACCATTCCAACGATTAATGAAATTGAACCCTACGTTCCAAAAGTAGCTCAAAATAAACCTACCTGAAATTGTTGCTAATTTTTATTAAAGATCTTAAATTTAATAGTGAATTACAAAGTAACAATGCTAAATGTAGACTATTCTCTTGTACCTCCAATCAACCATTCACGATCTTATCAACTATCAATGTAATAAAGTAACTGAAAGTTGATTGAAGTGTTACTTGTGGAAAATGTTATCACCAAAAGCGATATTTTGTGGATTACTCATCTTCTTCCCGCTCTTTTCATTTTGAATATTGGGGAATGATAATGTTGAAAATTGCTGATTGACTGAGTATATTTTCCATCTGTTCTGAAGAATGGACTAATAAAATTGTCATTTCCTCTTCCCAAAGCGAAAGTATGTGTGTATGTTTCCATTCTATTCAAACTTAGAGCATAATGACTTGACAAATAAGTATGCTATTACATTGTATCTTTGAAGTCGTATTGCTTTAAACAGTTGGTCACATGCTTTAACAAATATTAATGAATATTTCAATTTTAACTAAAATCATAGCATCTATCAATATCGTTTTATTGTTATGATATTAATTTCAGAGATGATATTTAGTATAAACCGCTATTTTCGTTTCAACTACTTAGATGTCACCTGATAAGTTGAATTTACTGAAGCTGGTGTATCTGAGTCCAGTTCCTTAGAGAAAAATTAAATGCCGCTCATAAGAAAGGGCCTAGAGAGAGCTTGAGGAAAAATATGAAGTGAAATTAAAATCTATAGAAGAACACGCACGAACGATTTAAAACAACGAGCAGGACACACGAAAGCATTATAAACAATGTCATGAGTCAGGTATAGCAATAACACATAACTTGAGACCAATATCGGGACAAGGTAATTTAACGAACTCAAAACCTGGAATTGTGATCCTTTCCAGAGACAGAAATGATAAATTCTGTATCAAGATAAAGGATGGGCCACGTAGAATAGATAAGGTGAATGAGCCACGGCGGTAATATTGCCAAATAAATTAATTGAGAACTTCTTGACAATTGCACGTGAGGAAGCAGGTTGAAGTGGAAACATTCGTCCACTTTCTTTTCTTAATATAGAACAGATCCCCGTTGTAAAAAAAGATTACAATGATCACATAAACTCCCAAAATAAGGTGCGAGATTTCATACAAGAGCTAAGTTCGTGATCCAATATTGCAATAACTGTTTGGAATACTGTAAATTTAATGATTGGAGTCGGCCAATCATCGATATTGGCATTGCCGAAGATGGCCAATTGGCAAATTTATGAACGAAACGGGTGGTCACATTTAAATGTGTTGGAAGTAGGTTGTGAAAGATCTTACATTTTACCAGCTTTGAGCTGTTTACTTCCTCACTAAGAGTATGTGAAGTGCACTATCCTAGCACAATTAAGCTAAGTCACAGTATAGCCGGTGAAGCCAAGATTGCATTATAATAACTACGATTCGTGACAGTGGCACACAGTCCAAATAAACGTCTGTTTCCACTTTATCGTTGGGGTTGCTCAGCTAACTTCGGGAGCCTTCCCGTTCTGGGATATTTTCCCATGGAGATGACTGAGGAGAAGTCCAAGTTAATGCGTCCAGCAATCTGCAAAAGTATGATCTCCTTAAAATGTTCAACCGCTCTTGAGCCAAATTTTTATGATATGATACCGGGGTAAATAGATGCGTTTACAAACCACTGACTTAATGTAATAATTAACCCAGTCACATTATTATAGTACAACTAATGATTGTTTTAGAAAGTCAGTTATATGTATCAATATATAGAAAAGAAATTCCCGATCAATGGTTGATAGGACACGATGAGTTAAGTCAAAGGCCCGTCCTCTGATACAGAATATGCTAATAATTTTCGTCCCAATCAATCTTGAATGAATTCATTAAGACTGATGGTACATAATCAGTATACTGTAAATTATTATTTAAGATTGAACTCTTCGTAAGGACAGAATCTACGTCACTGACATCAATTTCTCTATGATAATTATAAACTATACTTACCGGTACCATAAAGCATATTTACCTTCCCCATGAAAAGCAAAAATATTCAATTTACAAAGATATATTGATTTGGGAAAAAGAAAAGGAATGATATAAAATTCGAGTCTTTCAACTGTACATCATTGAAGGGAATTAAGCATTGTTCACGAAAAAAATTAACGTCCCGGAAGAGCTGATACCAAGGAGATTACAATGATTAGAATGATCACTCCGATCACAACTCCGATGATTATTTTTTTCTGAAAGAGGAAAAATTTTCAAAGTAACATTGAAACTAAAACATCATGCTATTTAAATTGCAAATAAGTAGTTGGAACACAATACTTTCAATTTTTGGAAAACATTGAAGTTATCCGAAAGCATTCGCCCTGCTATTGGAAGGCATGTAATAAGATTTTACAAAACAATTGACTATGGTAACCACGTAGAAAGCATTATGCCAGGATGACGCCACGAATAAGCCAGGTGACGTTTAAAGATCGCATTCGGGGTCATATATTTAAAAGAAAATATATATACTCTACTTTACTAGTTTGGTAAGAATACCACGAATCAAGTTTAAGATCACGTGAAAAGTTCTACATAGAATAGGATACTAAGTCGGTATGACAACCATTCTATGCCCAAGGAATGGGTTACTATTAGCAACCGAGTAAACATAGCTTTCTATGTAACAAATATAGAATAGGCACGGAATATGAGGAGGGGGGGGGGCCTATTTCTACTCTTATATGGCTTTACAATCAGCGCATAGCAGAAAATGACGCAGTAGAAAGCCAGTAATATTTTATTGTGATTAATTCAAAATCACATGCGTGTAGGTTGTAGTAATGAAAGACAGGTGGAAAAAGTGGAATCACTTAGATTATATGTGGGTACACACACATGCGTAAGTCATTTTTTTTCATTGTGCAAACAATATTGAATAAGTGGATAACTTGAGTTGAGTGCTCGTAGTATAAACTAACATGGACTTGGGCTGACATTCCGCCGAAACGAGCAAAGAGCACTATAACCTAAGACAAGCCTCCGCTGATATTGTGATAGTTGACGACATTGTGAGTTTAGGGCGCTGAATGTAATGATTCAGAACAAACACAGCGACTGATGTGACTACAAGTGTAACTATGTAAATTATTGAGTATAAGGACAGACACTTTACAATGCAGGGATTAATATTAGCCCAAATTCTTCGTAGTTCTCAGGTTTAAAATTACTCAATAACGTTCTAAGAAAAGGTGGTGGGGGGGGGGGG